GCACCTTTATTCCCACGTCATTTTTCTAAGTATTCCTAGCATATCTACAATTTGCCCCTAATTGTAGTAGAATAGCTTTAATTTTCACTGCTAGAAGAATAAACTGAAAAAAAAATCAACTGAATTAAAAAAAAGGCAAATAAAAATATGAAACCCAACTCTTCTATTGGTTGAGATAGACATAAATGCAGTAAAACTCTCAATATTCAAAATGAAATAAGGTAAAACCATGACTAGTCTCACTGTATATAGGTACTGCCTCACAAATAAAGTATACTAAATATACTAAACAAACACTTAGCAGTCAGCTACAACGCATAATTTCCTCATAGCTGGAATATAAAGTAATCCAAGGATTACTGGATTACTTTCCAGGTTAGCATCCAACAGGCCACTGCACAGTAATTGATAAAACAATAAAGAACAAGACATACTGCTCGATTCTCTTTGCAAAGTTAACCCTGCCGTAAAGATTAAAAATGGAAATTGAGTCTAATCTCTTACATCTCACTCTTGCAATGTTTCTAGCAGACACCTGAGGTTTGGAACACCCCAGGATGAGCAGAGGTCATGCAGTGTCTACCTCAGCACAGACTTCACTGAATTTGAATACAACTATTAGGACCCACAGGCAACATGGTACTTTAGTCTCCATCTAAATTTAACTATATTTGTTCTTATTTGTTTGCAAGATATATTGCAAGGGAATGTGGGGTCATTTAGAAATTACTTTTATCACTGAAAAACATTTGAACACTGTCTTCTGAAAGAGGGAGAAAACCTATTCATCCCTTTTTAAGGCAATACAAGTAATTGTGTGCCTTGAGATTTAAGGGACCTTTGATAAGGTTGGGTTTTTTATCTAGTATCTTTTTTAAACATTTGTAAATGTTGAAGAGAACTTCTGAACTCCATTGAAGCTTCAAATTTCAGATATTTTCTTGAGAACTGTGACTAAGATTTTGATGGATCTTCAATGTTTTTAATCACGATATAATGTCATATTAGTAGCTTCCAGATGCTGTAACACTATTATTACAATATTCCGTCCCCTGTACTGCTCCCAAGAAATTGCACTTTGTGCACCAGTATACCTAGCATGTGCCTTCATCTGTGGTGTCCCTCAAGGGTCCGTACTGGGACCAATACCATTTAATATTAGTGGGAT